AAGAACAATATTGGAAATGGGTGGTCTATGTATCAAAGTCACTCTGACTATTGATGCCGAGTCTGTCTTCAAGTCTTTGTCTAGCAAAGATCTGAAGAAGCCCACAGAATGTACTCTGCTTGGGCACATTAGCTGGATCCGCCAGATGATGGAGCGCGGAATCGTTGAAAGCGTTCAATGGTGTGACACGCGGGATATGACTGCCGATGGTCATACCAAAGGTAGCATTGACCGCGCGTTGCTCCTACAAGTAATGGCCGGCCAGCAATCCTTCAAGCATGAGCTGAAGAAACATACGCCGTATAGGGCGGGCAGGTCGTCTCAGGACGGCCCTGCCTCCCGTGCCAGCGGGGAAACCCGCGGGCAGGTGCGCGTTAGTAGCGAGGAAACTCGCCGGTAGCGAGGCTACTCGCGCGCCCTTTCCTTGTAGGCAGCCGCTGCTGCTTAGCACTGTTTTTTCCGCATAATAGAAGTGCGGTACCTGCTCGTCTCCTCCCCCTCCGACTTTAAACGGAGAAGGTTAAAGGCGAGGTATAAATCGAGCATGTACCGCTGCCGTGCCTGGCTCAAGCCGGGCCCGGCCTAATATGTGACTGTGCCTCACCGAGGCGCACTACTTGCATCAGAGATCGGAAAATCCCTTTTCCATTGACGATGCCCATCCTACTCTTTACTCCAGATCCCATGCTTCGTCTCGCTCTCTTGCTCATGCGATATGAGCCAAAACCTGGGATATGGGAGCGCCTAAGGCGGACTACATACCTAAGCTTACCAGCTTGTTTTCGACTAAGAGGTGTATATGTTATTGTTTGCCTTAAGCTATGGGCTTGCTTGAGACGGAGGAGGTCTTTGGGGACGCTGGGAGGTTCTGGGACGCTCTGTGAGGGAGCGGGAGGCTGTGCTTGAATGGTTATCAGAGCCCCTTGGAAGCCCACGGAGTCCGGTTTCGACGCGGCCCGCGGCCCGCAGTGATTGTCTCGTTGGTCTTCTCGGTTGTCAGAGTTGGTCCTCGCGGTTCTCTGCAGTTCCATCGATGCTCTTAGAGGCCTGACCGCGCTCACAATGGAGGTCAGCGGGGGGACCGAACAAACACTACAGCACGTTTAACGTAGTTGCACCTTTTGAAGCAGAACCGCAACATGAGCGTTCAGTCGCAACTCAAGTACATCTCCGATGCTCACAACTAGCCTAGAACATGGAATTTACTGGTAACCTCACTGTCATCCACAGCTGTTGAAAACATAGTTGCCTGTACCATTACATGACAGATCATATCCGGGGGTACATCCTTGTTATCACTGTGGTATGCATCTTATCCGAGAAGCGCTGGAATGCTGCGGTGATGCCACTGGCTATGTAGGCAACCTTGTTGCGGAGATGTTGATACTCAGCGATCGAGGATCAGCAATGCTAATCATCATTCCCATCTAACACAATGTCTTCTGATCAGAAGAACAGGTTGGAAGATCGATCAGTGGAGAGGGAGGGAGGAACGCGTGAGGAGGAAACTTATTAACAGGGGAATGAAGACGAAAAGGGGGCGATACCGATGTTGAGGGGATGCGAGGGGCGGGAGGCAGTGACGAGGATTGACGGAGATCACGCGGAGGAAGATGTGAGCGGTGAACGAGGGGAGGGGTGTGGATGCGGGAGGAGGGGTTCGAGGTGTAGGAGGAAGCAGGGACGAGGAGCAGGAGGATGATGCGGACGAGGACGAGTGCCAAATGGGGGGAGCTGGAGGAGGAAGGATGGGCGCTGGAAGCGGCAGCAAGGACAGGGGGGGCCAGCGCCCTCCCCTCCTGGCCACGAACGGGCCCTTGGGGGGCGCCGGTGGGCGGACTCGGCGGAGCCAGGGCCCCGCCCCGCGGGGGCGCGCCCTGGCCCCCGTGCGGACAGGGCGGAAGGGCGCCAGGGGAGGGGGCGCGGGGCTGGACCTCCCGGCGGTCCGCTGGCCCCCTCGCCCCCGCTGGCCTTTATTCTGGTCCCGGGGCTCCCTCGGGCCCCCTGTTCGGGACGATCGAAATGGGTACGGCAAGAGTGGGCACAAAGACCAACAGCAGTTCCTCGTCATGTTGAACAGGAGTCGCTGTCGGCGTCGCCGCGGCCTGTGTCCACTGAAGACACAAGGCCGCCTGCCCAACAGCGGCCGCTGTCGGTTTTGGACAACATTTGTTGTTGGGCATTGTACCCATTTCGGGCGTCCAAACTCGTCGGTGCTCGGAGGGCCGTATTTCTCGGAAGCGCGGTGGGCACGCCAGCCCCCCGCGGGGATACTTCGCAGGAGGGGCTTCGATGTGCTCCCCCCCCCCCCCGAGGGGCGACCTGCTGGGACCAGCCCCGCCCAAATGCAAATGACGTATCAGGTACTGGCGCCCCCCCCAAAGGAGGTTCGAGAGTAGGCCTCACCTGGAGAGATTGCATATTTGTTTCCCGGGTAGCTTCTGCCTCGCAGGGTTTGGGCTTGATAACCCTGGAGTAGGTTTCGGGAGCCCGAAAGCAGGCTTGAGATATGGTTCTAATATGATTTTCGATTGCGAAGGCCTTCAGGCCAGTGCCGCCGTCTCGACTCGAGGGGGATGCCGACGACGACGACGACAACGACGACGAAGATGACGAAGAAACGACGACGGCGACGACGACGGCCATGACGAAACACAGTCAACAATTTTGAACATCAGAGTGAGGGGGCGGAACGGTCATTCATTGTCCCTGGGTGCGTTGCTGAATCGGGAATTCGTGGTGAGAATTCTGCTGGTTGCGTTGTTGTTGCTGTTGTTGTTGTTGTTGTTGTTGTTGTTGTTGTTGTTGTTGTTTGTTGTTTGTTGTTTGTTGTTTGTTGTTTGTTGTTTGTTGTTTGTTGTTTGTTGTTTGTTGTTTGTTGTTTGTTGTTGTTGTTGTTGTTGTTGTTGGTGTTGGTGTTGGTGTTGTTGTTGTTGTTGTTGTTGTTGTTGTTGTTGTTGTTGTTGTTGCTGCTGCTGCTGTTGTTGTTGTTGTTGTTGTTGTTGTTGTTGTCGTTTGTTGTCGTCGTCCCATCCGCGACCCACCCGCGACCCACCCCGCGACCCACCCCGCGACTCACCCCGCGACTCACCCCCCGACCCACCCCGCGACCCCCCTCGCGACCCACCCGCGACCCAACCCGCGACCCACCCGCGACCCACCCCGCGACCCACCCCGCGACCCCCCCGATACCCACCCTGCGACCCACCCTGCGACCCACCCGCGATCCACCCCGCGACCCATCCGCGACCCATCCGTGACTCACCCGCGACCCACCCGCGACCCATCCCGCGAGCCACCCTCAAGGGAAGAAGAGCCACCGGACCTGACAGGTGACGTTTACTAAAACGGCCCTGGACGTTGACTGATCAGCCCTGCCCTGTTCGATTCATTCCTTGTATGCGTTTACCAAAGGGTATCGCTTGTCGGGGTGATTATTCTGGGACGGATTTTCTGCCCTCTACACCCGCGATCCAACAGCTACCCACCCGCGACCCATTTGCGACCCACCCGCGACCTACCCACATTGGTGTAACACAAACAACCGGGGCCTGCGGCTGGCTCGTTGTATGGTTTGTGGAACTTTGGCGCCTGCGTCGGGCTTCTCCTGAGTATCGCAAGCTGCAGACGTCGCACTGGTCTCTTACTCTTATCCCCATCTGTGGGGTGTTACGTATTTGATTTGACCCTCTTGGTGTTGTCATGGGAGTACTCTTGGGGCGCTCTCGCGCCTCTTGGGAGCCTCCTGGGGACTTCTCGGGCGCCTCTTGGCGCCTCCTGGGGGCCTCTTGGGGCAGACGTCTCGACATGTCGGATGGTGTTCTCCCTCTCGGGAGCCTCTTGGGGCCCATGTGGGGCCGTGTTCGGCCGTCTTCGGGCCCTCTTGGGCGGTCGTGGGGTCGTCTTGGGCCGTCTTTGGGCCGTCGTCGGGCGTTTTCGGCAGCATCGTTGGCCAGCTTGGGGCGATGCTGGTGGCATCTTGGGTTGTATTGGAGCGTCGTAAGTCGAACGGAAGCCGAAAACGCGATGACACATAAATCATATACCAATCACCCCAAAAAATGAGTTTCGCCTCGTGGGGTCTTCTTTGGGCTCCTCTTGTAGCCCTCTCGGGGCCTCTTGGGGCTTCTTGGGACAAATGATGCCGTCTTCAGGGTATCTCGGGCCGTCTTTGGTTTATCTTAGGCTATTGCAGGGCCCTCTTGCACCGCCTTGGACGTGCATTGCCAAATGAGAGCAATCAGACCTGCTCGGAGAGGACCCGGCACACGGGACGGGGGGGGCGGTAGTGCGTGGTCCAGTACGGAACGGGTTGCCCTTCAATTCGAGTGCCACGTTGTTGGATCTAAGGAACAGGCTGGCCTTCAGCTTCGAGTGCCACGTTGTTGGATTTCCCTCTGGCTGGCGCGCTCGGGGGGGAGGACCCAGGAACAAACCAGGGGAGCGACGACGACCACGACGACGACGACGACGATTCCAACGGGAAAAGCCCCCCACGCATGCCGGCAGGGTCGGCGGGTGTAGATCCAGTTTGAGAACTAATGCAAAGCCATGCTCAAACGCATTTAATCTTAATGCGCGCCCATTTTGAATCCTACTGCACACATACTTCAAGCATGCTTCTGGGAGGCGGGAGCGGAGGTGAAGAGCGAGGGGGGGGAGATGCGAGCAGTCGTGTTCGGGAGTGTTGCCGTGGCCAACAAAACATCCAACATGCACACGCCATAAGTCGGCAATCTGGCATTGCCAAGTCATCTGTCCGCGGCATTTGCGCCAACACGCTTTGGGAAAACCAGGTGTGGGTTGGTTCATGTGCGATCGCGTTCTTTTGTTTCGTACGCGTGGAGCCTTTCTTTTGGAACCGACATTGCTTGTAAGCCCATCCCCTGGAGCTAAGCGTGGACCCTGCTTAAGACCTATCTCGGAGTGTCTCGGAGGGTCTCGGGCCTCCAGGTGCCGGAGGCCCTGGGAGGTCCCTCGAGGCCGAGGGAGGCCGCCAGGGCGGCTTGCGGATGTGCTATCTTTGTTTGAAGCGCGAGGGGCGCGGCGTCAAGATGGCCCCGGCATTCGGGCGCCGATCGCCGTGCTTGTCGCCGGAAGGTCGGGGGCGGTCAAGGAGGGTGGGGGCGAGGATCAGGGGGGTGCGTGAACACTTTGGCCGGGGGCATGGCATCGCCCGGCGCGCCTCGTGACCCCCTCGCGTCCGCGCAGATCCCTCGGGCCATGGCTTGCTAATCGGAGGAGCCAGAGGTCGCGATAATGACACCTCACAGGGTTTCTAGGATGTCTTGGATTACCCCTCGTGATCACGAGGGGCTGCAGAAGAGAGTGCAGAGAGATGCTCTCGTGAACTCTTGGAACGCATCCGGAGCGAATCACAGCATGACATCATTCTTTTCCTTGCTAGCCCCCCTCTTGGATGCGCCCCCCCCCCCCCCGTAAGGGTTGTATCTCCGCCCCCTGGAACAAGGGTCGCGTGAGAGTTTTGTTGAGTTTCTTCGCTCTCTCTCTCTCTCTCTCTCTCTCTATCTGTATTTCTCTCTCTACTTATGTTCCTGCTTTCCCCCTCCCTCTCCAGAGCGCCCTGGGGTCTCTGAGCGGCCCACGGCCCTCCCTCGCAGCAGAGCGGAAGAGGGAAAAACATGAAAAACAGAAAAAAACGTGTGTTTGCACATGGAAAAAAGGGAAAAACAACGAAACCTTTGACTGTCGCTCTTTTTTAAGTTTTTCTTGTTTTTCCCTGTGAAAACACATGTTTTTTCCTGTTCGTTTTGTTTTTCGACGAATGAGGAAAACATGAAAAACATGAAAACCAATAAAAAACATGTGTTTTCACATGGAAAAACAGGAAAAACCAGCGAAACCTGTGACTGTCGTTCTTTTTCAAGTTTTTTCCTGCTTTTCCTTGTGAAACCAAGCGGTTTTTATTGTTTTTCCTGTTTTTCCTGTTTTCCTCCTCCCTCTCCGGAGCGCCCTGGGGTCTCTGAGCGGCCCGCGGCCTTGCCTCCCAGCAGAACGGAAGAGGGCGCGGGCGGGCTTTCCTCCAACTACGTTTTGTTGCAGAACGGGCGCGGCTGAGCCACGCGCGCGGGCACTCAAGTGAAAGGAGATTGTTTTTTTATCCTCTGGGGGGTAACGCTCGTTACCCGGGCCTCTCCCCCCCCCCCCCCCCCCCCCCCCCCCCCCCCCCCGTAACGGTACCGCTCGTCGTCGTCGTCGTCGTCGTCGTCGTCGTCGTCGTTTTCATCGTCGTCGTCGTCGTCGTCGTCGTCGTCGTCGACGGCCAAAAAACGGCCTCGGGAGTCCGGAAAACAAAACGTCGTCGTCGTCGTCGTCGTCGTCGTCGTCGTCGTCGTCGTCGTCGTCGTCGTCGTCGACGGCGCTCGAAAACGGCCTCCGGAGGCCGAAACAGGCGGCAAACGTCGTCGTCGTCGTCGTCGACCTCGTCGCTCGTCGCTCGTCGATCATCGTCGTCGCGCGCGCGGGCGCGGGCGTGGTGCCGGGACCACGCGGCGGGCTTTGCGCTTGTACTCGAATCGCAAGCCACTGTGGTGCTCTCAGGCAGAGAGTGCTGCTCGCGCGCATACTATGGCGATCGCAGAGCGCCCCTGCCTCGCCATACCCCGCCCAGCCCAAGCGTTACCGTTACCCGGGGGGCACGACCGCCCCCCCCCCCCCCCCCGGGTAACGAGCGTTATCGGCCAGAATAAAAAAACAATCTCAAGGAATTACAGGAAAACGCGAATGCACATCAGCCCCTGAACAGCGAGCTCGAGCAATCAAGTCATGGGATCACGACACGGACTAAACAACAAAGCTCTGGCGCAAGAGAGCCTAAACCCAATCACCAACGCATCGGGACTATTCAGTGAAACGCGGATCTGCTCAAGGAAACGCAACAGAAGCAGGCCGCTTACGGGGACAGCGCGCCGCCGCAGCGGCCGCTGGCCTCTTGCGCATGACATTAGCGCTGGGAGGCAGGCGCTCCACGTCAACGCGCGGGTTCGCGCGCGCCGACAAGCGCAGCTTTGGCGCTATTTTCGGTGGGGCGTCAATGAGAGCGCCGAGCGCGGCCTGGAGGAGCTCGCGCTCCTGGTGCAGTTCGGTCAGCGGTAAGCTCTTCCTCGCCCAGCCGACCAACAGCTTGGCGAACGTGCATATTGAGCATACTGCGCGTGCGTTCCGCTCAGTTTGAACGAACACGTTCCGAAAGAATGCTTTCAGTTGCATGTGCAGAGCTCCATTCCTCGTGGTCCCGTACATCACCTGAACGCTGGGGTTCCGCGCAACGAATCTACCAATATTCAAGATGTATTCAAGCTGCGCAGGTGACGTTACATATCGCAGACTCTGCCCTGGAAGGATACCACCAAGGAAGGTTCCGTGTACGCGCCGCTCCCGCGGACGACGGTTCCCCCTCTCAAACATTTTTGTTTGGGACCCTCTCAAACATCCTTGCGTTGAGGGCATCCCTGTTTGGGATGCCCTCTATCAACGACATGTCAAAATGTTTGGCGGCACCCTTGTTTGGGGCCCTCTCAAACATCTTTGCGTTGAGGGCATCCCTGTTTGGGATGCCCCCATCAACAACACCCCAAACTATCTGGCGGCCCCCTCGTTTGGTATATCCTCAAACATCGCTGCGTTGAGGGCATCCCTGTTTGGGATGCCCCTATCAACAACACTCCAAACTATCTGGCGGCCCCTTGTTTGGTATATCCTCAAACATCGCTGCGTTGAGGGCGTCCCTGTTTTGAAATGCCCTCAGAAACATCACGGGCCCTCAAGCAGAATACATTGGTAACGTTTTGGGGCCCTGGGCGCCCTTTCCCGCTCCTCCCTCAGCCGTCGCCGTCGCTTTCGTCTGTTTGTGTTGTTGCTTTTTAAAAGTCTGCAGCTGCGCGGCTGCGTTCAGCCCCAGTCGTTAGCGTGCTCCTTCGGCGGGCCGTTTTCGGCCAACCAAAAAACTCGCTTCGCGAGTTTCCGCGGCAGGTGGTCGGGGGCCCAGCTCTTGAAGCTGGCCCACCACCTTTTCCAGGAGCGCAGCTCAGAGGTGGCACCCTCAAGCTCTTTGGCCTTCTTCTCAGCGGCGGCCAGCTTTTTCGTCAGCCTGCTGTTCTGCTGCGCCAGCTGGTCTCTCTCCCGCTCGTCCGCTTTCTTCTCGGCAGCAGCGAGCTCGTCCGTGAGCCTCCGGTTCTGTTGCAGCAGCTGGTCTCTCTGCCGCGTCAAGGCTCCCAGGCTTGCCTCCGCAGCGCCCTTGTCGCGGTAGTGCTTGTTTGACCGTCTCCTATCGCAACATAATACACACCGACAACACATACAAGGCGGCGCGTCAGATTCTGCATGCCCCGCAAACGAAGGAGTGCGGCCTGGCGAGAATAAGCGGGTTCGAAAGGCGGTCGCCCTTCGCGGGAGCACAGAAACGGACGCGCCGCCAAGTTGTTGCTGGTGCGATTTCATGTTGCCCGTCCTCAAGTCGTCGGCTTGCCGTCGGTACTCGAGAGTCTGCGCCCGCAGCTTCGCAGCAGCTTGGCGCCCAGCCTTCAGTAGGACCTCTCGGGTCCGCTCCTGCTTCAGGAACTTTTCCACCCGTATCTTCGCCCGCCGCTCGTTGTTAGCGTCGAGTTTGTCCCTGTACGCCTTGGTTCCCTTGCGGGGGTTGCCCATGGCCGAAGACGGTTCTGAAACGTGGCCGCAGAAGAAAATTTGAACATAGATGCGTATTACAGGCACAACAACAATAACTATGATGATCATGCGAACGATGACGATGATGATGGTGATGATGATGGTGATGATGATGCTGATGGTGGTGGTCATGATATCGATGACGCCGATGATGATGACGATGATGATGATGATTATGATGATGAAGCTGGTGATGATGATGACGTCGACGATGCGAATGCCCAAATAGCGAGACAGGAGGGGCCCTCACAGCGTTCCCCTCTCAAATCCACAGGATCCAATTGGTAGGTCATACGTGGAAAAACCATATGTTCCAGGGGGCGGAGATACAACCTCCACCCCCCCCTCCCCTCTTGGACGCCTTCGACGGGAGGCTCCTCGCTGACCTCTCGCCGCCAGTGGCCGAGGGTGCGCGCGGGCCTCTGGTCGCGGCTGCCGCAGACCGCCAATTTGTATTGGGCGCTTCGAAAACGTGCGATAGGAGCGCACGCTAGGAAGGGGCAGCGCGAGGCGGAGTCGGCCAGTCCTCTCTGGCGAGTCGACATGTTGACATCTTCGCCTGGCCTCGCGTTGGCGCACCTTGATCTCTGATCCTGCACCCAGTCATCCCTCTTCCCTACATCCTCCTCCTTCCCCCTCCTGGCAGCCCTCCTAGCTGGTCCTATCCCTTCTCATCCTACGCGCCCCTGGTCCTGCATTACCCCTCGTCCTGCGCCCTTGACGCCGCTGTCGCTGCTGCTGCCCTTCCTCCTCTTTCTCGTTTCTCTTTCCCTCGTCTTGCGCCCTAGCCCCTCCGCTCCCTCTTTTCTCTCCCCCCTACCCTCTGCCGCCAGCACTGGCACGCGCCTTTCGTGCCCGCGCCGGAGCGGCCGGGACTTTTCGACGCGAAGCGGCAGCGGCGTCGATAGCGCGCGCCCCACGGAGCATCCCATCCCGTGGTGCCGCGACGGCGTGATTTGCCGCCCTAATACACGGATTCCGACAGGGCTCCTGTTTTTCGGATTGTTTGCCTTATTTGCGCCTGCTGGCGATGTCCCCCCCCCTCGTTGCGCAGAGTGCCACGATCCCTGTCTCGGCATCGTCAGACCCGTCCCCATTCGCGGCGGGCCATGGCTCCCTAACGCCACCAGCCTGCTGCATCGATGTGGGGGCAGGTGGAAGGTGGCACGGGCCTCGACTGACAATGCTTGAAATTGTCTGTGACTCGTTGAACCCATAACGTCCGTGACGGGGGGTCGGCCCCCTTCCCCCCCCGTACGTTCGTTACCGTTCTGGGGGGGGACGGCCCCCCCGCAGCTATGGCGCCGTGCTCACAGGCATGGCGGGGTGCTGACAGGCATCGCAAGCCCTCCAGACACCTCCAGAGGGTTCCCTTGACCGCCTGAGAAACCTGGAGACCTGTGGAGCCCTTCAGAGGCGGCCGTCGTCGTCGTCGTCGTCGTCGTCGTCGTCGTCGTCGTCGTCGTCGTCGTCACAGTCGTCGTCACCGACGTCGTCGTCTCCGCCGCCGCCGCCGCCAGCGTCGTCGTCGCCGCCGCCGCCGCCGCCGTCGTCGTCGTCGTCGTCGTCTTCGTCGTCGTGGTCGTCTGCGGTCCTCCAGACGCCTCCATAGGCATCCGACGACCTCCTGAGACCTCCTGGAAGCCTCTGGATCCCGTGGAGGCGGCCGCCGTCCTCGTGGTCGTCGTCGTCTGCGTTTTCTCCGAGGGCCTCGGAGGTCGTGCAGACGCCTCCAAAGGCCTCCGAAGACCTCCTGAGGCCTCTGGTGACCCTTTTGGAGACCCCGAGAGGCGGCCGTCGTCGTCGTCGTCGTCGTCGTCGTCGTCGCCGCCGTCTGGCGCCCAGGGCCCCCCCGCGGTGCCCGAGCTCGTTACTGTTTCCCCCTCCACGGGGGCCCGATCCCACCCCGCGTCCCGTAACCGACGTTACTGATATACTTGTTCCCACCATCCTAAGTTTGAGGGGGAGGGAGTCCTCCTCCTCCTCCTCCTCCTTCTCCTCCTCATCCACCTCCTCCCCCTCCAACTTATGGTGGTGGTGGTGGAATACAGGCCCACCAGTGGTGTGCGGGAACACAAAACAATCTCCATATATCCCCACCGGGTGAGGTAGATCGGCCAGCAAGCAAAAGTTGATACGCATCAGGCGCTGGAAGAGTATTCATTTCTGAATTCCCAGGTCCCACTCCAAATATTTTCTGCGCGCCTGACTTGAAGCATCGATCGGTTTCCATCTTCCCTCCTCATGCCGCGGGTGGAAACCTAACGTGCTCCCAACGCCCTCCTCCGCTTCATACTTCTACCTGCCCCTTCCGACCCATGGGCGTCGATGGAGACGGGAATTGTCGCAGGCGGTTTGTCCCCCCCAATCCCCGAGTTCCGTCTGAAAAGTTTGACAGAACGCCCGATCGTCCCGCTTGCGGGAACGGCGTGAATCATGCAGTGCGGAAAAGCATGCGCGGGTGAGAATCAAAAAGACACCCCTCAAGCCTCAAGGGTATTGCTACACGACGGTGTGCATGTATGACAAATAATCAGTCCGAAATTCATCGGAAAACCTGCCGTGCGCATTGTGCAACTCACGCTCCAAACTGGTGTTGAAACGATCTTGGAAAAACTTGTCGATTGAGTCAGTCCATTTGGTTCTCGGGCGGCCAACTCTGCGGGAGCCTTCTGGGCGCCAGCGCATGGCCGTTCAGAAAAAGGGGGGGAACCCTGGGAGAGACCCCAAGGGGCATTCGAACACACCCCTAACGAGGATGGGCGCCCCCACCTCGTATATCCCAGGGCGGGGCTCCCATTTTCTGGTCCACTCGAAAACCTCCCAACGCCTGGGACAGGGGTCGACATATCCCCTGCTAGTCGGCCACGCGCAGAGGGGGATAGGGGGAGGGTGGAAGGCCTCTTGAAAGCACCCCTGCTTCTTTGCAGGCGCGGGCCCTGTCTATGGATGTAGGGCTGGCGCCTTCTATGGAGCAGCCTCCCACGAAGTCTTCCCCCCTCCCCCTACCCTGAGATCCGACGTAGCGACAAAACGGCAACATCATAAAAAGTCTCGCCTGGAGCCCTAGACCCCATCTTTCTGCGTTATTCTCTTCGAGCCGGATCGCTCTGTGAAGGCCCCAGGGGCCCGCACAGCAGGCGAAAGCGCCCAGCTCGAAGACGTTGAGACGCCAGGATCTCAGGGCCCCCCCCGTGTGTCACCGTGCGCGTTCCACGTACTCGCAAAGTGCCTACTCGCAAACGTCCGAAAAAACGTGGCTTCCTTGATGGAATGTATCGGAAATCCCCACGGCGGCTCCAGGCCATTTGCGGGTCGTGACTTTGCGAGTACTGGAGCGCGCTTTCCCAGGGTGCGCGCCGTCGGGTTTCGACTGGTCCGCCGATGCCGACGCCTCTCCTCTAGGCCTCCTAGATGGGGTTGGAGTAAATGGGGTCGGAGGACCGCGCCGCAGCGACGATGCATCGGCGATGCGGCTCGATGTGGAGCCCGATTCTCTCCACGCCGACGGCGCCGATGCGTCGCCGACGTCGCCGATGCTTCGCTGGTGCATCGCCGATTCATCGCCGAGGCACCGCCGACGTATCGGCGCTGCGGCGCCATCCTCCGACCCCACCCACTCCGACCCCATCCGGGAGGCCTCTGTCTCTGGAGGCCCCAGGCTTCCTGATTTTCTCACCGCGCGGAAGCCCTCCCCCCCGCCCGCGGCCGTCGGGCCGCGCCCGCGCGCGCCGCCGCGGGCGCCTGCTTGCTCGGAGGGGGCGAAAGGCCCGCCCCCCTCCGCGGGCTCGCAGCACCGGCAGCGGGCCTCGCCGGCGAGTCGCCTCCCAGAGGCAGTCGTCGAAGACGAGCAGACGGCATACGTAGCATTAGGTCGGGCGTGGCCCTCTACAAAAATAGGTCGAGCATTCGGCATTAGGTCGAGCATACGGCATACGTAGCATTAGGTCGAGCATACGGCATACGTAGCATCACGGGGACTATACAAAAATTGTCAGAGCATAGTCTGGGGACGATTTTTCAAAAAAAAACTGAACACGTTGGAGCATTGTTTGGCTATTTGTTATTGTCGTCCAAAATCCCCCTGCAGGGGGACACGCCCGACTTAGACGTAGCACCCCGCAGTTGCGGATAAGAGTGTGGGGGCGGCGGGAACGTCGGTAGTCCGCGTGGCTCGGAAGAAGCCCGCCGCAGGCGCAGAATTTCCCGCCTCAGGCGCAGATTTTTGATTAAAACGATGTAGTTTGGTCACGGGTTGGGTAGCGGGTGGGTGGCGGGGTGGGTCGTGGGTGTGTCGTGGGTGGGACGACGACAACAAACATCAGCAGCAACAACAACAACGCAACAAGCCGAATCTTCACCACGGATCGTCCATTCAGCCACGCGCCCAGGGACAGTGAATGACCGTGCGGCCCCCCCTTTCTGATCAGCACATAAACTTCTGGCGCTCCGCGCGGATGTCTTGTATCCGCGCTGCCCCCCCCCCCTGCGACGCCTCCGGCGCAGTCCCTGGCGCGCGCCGCGAGCCGGGTCCAGCGCAGATCCCAGAAATCTGCGCAGGGCACCAACAGTTTTTGTTTTTGTATTCTTCTGTTCTTCTAAATCGGAGCTCAAGATCGGTGGTTCAAAGATGGGGTCCTGAGAGATGGGGGCCTAAAGATAGGAAGGGATCCACAGGTGGATTTACATCGTTTGGCGCACCTCGTTCTTAGGACCCCATCCCTCAGGACCCCACCTTTGAACCACCCACGACAGAGCGCCAGATCTTGTAGGATTCTGCAGAGCCATGGGTGCATTGACCCAGGCGCGGGTGCAGGATCCTGCAGGATCTTGCAGCCTTGCAGGACCCTGCAAAGCCTGACTCATCTGGGTCTTGATGGACCTGGGTCAGTAGATCCCCGAGGCAACGCAAGCATGGATCCATCCATCGAAGAAGAGACGATTGCATGAGCACAAACTCTCAGAGCTCCGCTCGGATTTCTTGGTCGGCGCTGGGCCCACCTGGCGGCACCTCCGGCGCAGATCCAAGAAATCTGCGCGGACCTCCGAAAGTTTGTGTCTGCGCAGGTGCTTTCTCCCCCACTGAACACGCGTGAACAGCAATGCTGCCTGTATCCATAGAATTAGAACGTCGACGCGCGCTGTCGCCACATCCGGCGGCACCGGCTTAATGCTTCGGGGGGTATTTTCCCAGATCCGTTTATCTGGCGCGCACGCGTCGGCTCCACTGGTCCGCAATCCATGTTGAGAGCACGGAAAATTGGCCCTATTCTCGCATAGTGCTTAATCCAACCTGATTTGGCCCCTTAATCGAGTTCATTCGCCTTGAATCGTTCTTGCGAAGACCTCTCAGGAGTTACCTCCGAAGGTGGGGGGACGGGGACAGCGGGGGGATGGCTTGCGGCCGCTCCGAATATTTGCGTCGTCCCATTATCATCCTCACGGTTCTTAAGCCCTGAGCATTGTCCGCGACGGGGAGGGGCTTAGAGCCAGAGCCCAAAGAGGGTCAGCCCTGTCCAGAAGGTCATGATTCTCGATCCTCCCTGTCCCCAGCGCCGCTGTCCCCGTCTCTCGCGACCTCCGCTGTCGTATGCCTGGCAGTCGGCTAGCTAGAACACAGTCCCGCCGCCACGCCGGCTG